TTCAACCCAGGCGTATCCACTGACCAATGTTCTGGCAATTTCATCCCGAAGTTCTGCCTGCCAATGTCCACTGGCTTCCACCAGAAATATCCACCCGTTCATCTCTTCGCTTCTGAAGCCAGCCTCCACCAGCGCCCAAATGCTTGGGTCACACTCACGCCCTGGTGACATCCCCATGGAATGCCAGCCAGCCCATTCACACACACATTCACACACACACCAGCCGCCCCCCCGGCACACACACACCTTCACTCCACCAGGCATTCACACACGCACCTGGGCTTCCACCAAGCGTCCATGAGCTGGTTTCAGGAGGCTAAAGTCTCCCGGCTTCATCCGCCAATCTCTGCCGGCCTCTGCCTTGCAGCCTTAGCCAGCTTCCGCAGGAGATTCCACCAGCTTTTGTCTGCCAACATCCACCGACTTCTCCCCAGTCCATCGCCAACACCAGCCAGCTTCAAGCCACGGATCTCTGTTAGCCTCGAGCTGTTAACTCGCTGGCCCACTTAGCAAGTTCTTCTGTTTTCACGAGAGAACTTGCCTTGGGCAGAAGGGCTGGGTCCCCTGCAGCTGCTGCCACTCTCCCTACCGGATTGCCCTCTGGCCACTGGCCTCCCTTCTGGTCTCCTGCCCTGCCCAGCAAGACCCTTTTATCTGCCAGCAGAGAGGTGGGGCCCCTGTGAGGTCACAAAGACCCAAGAGAAAAGGGGTTGGGTTCCCAAGGCAGCAGCAGCAGCACCCTTGGGATTGGCTGAGTCCTGAAGATGATGTCAACAGTTCCTCTGATCATGTGATTTACCCACAAAAGCTTGCATTTTGCATGATTTTTTAAAAATATATATATATTTTAATTAGTGGCCTATAAATGCATCCCCTGTCACCAATCCCTCTGATTGTTAAATCTCCCCGTGTTGGCCTTCTGAGAGGATTCTAGGCTAGTGTTCCAAAAAGTTATCTTCCAGCATTTGCACCAAAAGGAACTTTCCTAAGCCCTGAGCTGGGAGGGAAGGGGGAATGAAAGTAATAAATGAATAAGAATGGGCACAGACACACAATGCAGCCTTTGACCCTTTGGGGTTTGTTTGTTTGTTTGTTTGTTTTTGTTTGTTTGTTTGTTTGTTTTTGGCCTCTTTTTGGGGAAAAATTGGCCTCTTTTTGGTCAGGCTTTTGCCCATCAAAGCAAGAATACAGGAAGCTTCTCTGCATGTCTACTGAGTCAGCAGCAAATTCAATGAATTTGAAAATGAAAGAACACAACTATGGCTCTCTCTCAAACTGAGAGAAATCAAGGCTTGAATTCATAGACACCTGAACCAGTATAGTTTTTTGGTCCATGGCCAAACTGCATCCCAGATGCTTTGCAAGGAGCTGCAGCCCTCAAGAATCATATTTTCGAATCTGCCAAACAGCTAATGAAGCAGATTCACATTCAGGGTCCAGACTTTGTCCACTTGCTTGTGTCAAGCAGAGGTTAGTCCTTAAAACTGACATTCAGGTACCCAGTTGTGCAACTGATTGCCTAGGTATTCATGTCTTAGCCTAGGTGGAACACATGCTCATTGTGCATATAGTCGTACTAACGCCACTGCACATGTTTCAGTTCTCCTCCCAAATTCCGCTTCTCTCTCCATACAGATCAGTGAGAATGCCATTAATGATTTTCAGCTAGTAGACCTAAGAGACTATGAAATGCCCGATGTATCTCCATCATGCTTCACAAGAAGCTTCTCGTTTCCATCTGACTTCAGATACAGGACATTATTCTGGTCTCTTGTGCAGAATCCCTCCCCGCTATCCACTCAGCCCTCCGTACATGACAGGTCACATCTAGTAACACACAATTATATCTGGCCTGGGGCCAACATTTATCGGAGTTGCTTGGATCTCATAATTTCACCGACATTTACCCCCCCCAAAATTGCATGAAGCTGAGCTTTCTGCATGTTCAAAATCATCTTCTGGTCTCGACACAAGAAAAACGGCCGATCCAATGAAGCAGTGCGTCTTCAGGGGGAGCTTCTAGCTTTACATGTAATAAGATACAGAAAAGGAGGCTTTGTGCCTCAACCGTTAAACAGCTGTAGAAGAGGCCCCTCCTCAGCTAAAGGGACACTAGATGTTTTTATGTCTGTCAGGACAGGTTTCTTCCTATCTGGGTTATAAGAGAATGCATTACAAAGGGCATTAATAAATCATGGACTGTTTCATTTCTGAGCCTGTCGGATAGCCACAGCAGAATATACTTATGGAAGGCTAGGATAAACTTCCTGTCACTGGATTATACGAAAGGCTTTACATCTTCCTTTTGGGTGCACATAGGTCTTGTGCCCTGTGGTGTGTTGGGTCCTGCATTGTCTGGAGCTGGAGGGTTGGAAGGAGAAGAGCCAGAGCTGGCGAATAACTAGCAATGAATGATTAATTACTTCTAAATATTTCCCCTTCCCCCTCCCTCAGTAAGAGACATGACTAGGTTACATGCAATGGTAACTTAGCAAGGGGTAGGTTAATATCTTTGGCTGTGTGACTGTAATTTTTGGTTACTTTCATAGTCATTCGACAAAGAAACACCACGTTGTTCAAGTGCTGGCTTCTCCTCTGCCTCTTGTTGTATCCCTGCGCTCTGTGGTGGATGGTGAGCTAATAAGGAGGTGAATGGAAGACAAGCATGTTGTAATCAAAAATAAAAAACCTTAAAAGTAACCATTTCAGTTATTTTGGGGAAATAGCAAAAGGTTTACTTTTCAAAAGTATAGTAATAATTTAACTACTGTGGGGTTAGGAATTATGACTGTAACTGATTTTTTTTAAAGTAACATTGTCCCTCTTCCAGAATCTCTCTATCTTTCCTCCTGTACTGAGAGAACTTTGCAATACTTTGTTCAACTTTTATCCTTAATATTATATAACTTTGCCCATAGTTGTATGATGTGTTGACTGTTTTTATTGTTGGGCCACAAGGACCCACACACAGGGCTTTTGGACCACTTCTTGTTTGTTACTGACTTCTTGCTTTGCAACAAGATGAGTGAATTAAACTTGTAGTAATGCAGTAGTATGAACATTTGAACATTGTCATGGGTTAGGTGATGATGGCTTTAAATAAACAAACATCCCAGCAAGAAGGGGTGCAGTCCAGTCAAAGCAGCACACTTTTACACCTTGCTGGTCCTTTTGGGAGCAACTAAAAGATTGTTTTGATTCTGCAGTTAGAATTTTTGGGCGACTCAAAGGAGCTAGATTTAGGTGGGCCATTGCAAGGTACTGCAGGCATGTTTGCAAAGCTCCTGGTGCATCCTCTCTCATTCCCACACCACATCTATTCTGCTCCTATTTAAAAGAATAACATTGTCTTCATATTTTCTTCTGGGCTTAAATTAAGACTTTCAGGTGACGGTTCTTTTCCATTTACTTAACACTGCATACCAGTATGTTGCCGTATCTGTTTCTTCATCTTCTGGTGCATTTAGAGTTTGATTTTCTTTTCACCTTCCAGAGAATGCAAACAAATTGGAAGAAAGCGCCAGGGGGATCTACATTCCGTGTCCTGAACATTATAATGGTTTCTGCATGCATGGCAAATGCGAGCACTCCACTAATATGCTGGAACCATCTTGCAGGTAACATTTTTTTCCAAACTGAGCAGCTGATGATAAACTGAATAGGCAGACTTGCTAATACATGTTATCTTGATGCTGCAAGGAAAAGAATAATTGCAGAGGCCCCATTTTGGATCTAAATTATGTACAGAGGCACATAATGTATACAGTAGGATTGTACTGAATTATGCAACAGTATTAATCTGATTATGAAAGCATTCCTGCAAGGTCTGTCAATACCTGCCTTAAAAGGCACTACAGAACATAGGTTTGGCCTGTGGGTATTATCTGTTGATTTCAAGCACACGGCCAAGAGCCTGGGAAAATCTCACAGTGAACAAAAGTCAAGAAGGACGTCAACATCAATTTCTCCATGTGGCCAAATGGCTGAAGACAAAAGGGTTTGTATCGAGTGTGAAAAAGGTGAAGGTTGAAATAAGGTTGGCTTCAGGAAGAGACATCACATCACAAGTAATGGGGATGTGATATTTCCACACAATGGCAAGTAGATCGCCGTTAGTTGCACTGCCAAATGTAAGCAAGCCTGGCCCTCTAGGCTGTCAGGAAATAATCTGTAAACTGGTTTAAGCCCCTTAGAAGAAGCAGGGTATATAAAGATCACAAATAAAAACTTAAATACATGTGTGCCTGTTGGGTGGAAGATACCCAAGGAAGTCTGGATTGCTTGCATATGGAAAAAGTGCAGTGGCCTTCAGGCAACTCTTTAGAAGAGTACATAGATGTTTCAGCAAGCTAACCAGACCTCTCCCACCCTATATCACATCGTTCTTCCCTTTTTAATCCATCAAACAATCAAGGATACTGCTGCTCTAACCAAGGCGCAGAATGCCTGTGTTTTTCGCTCATATCTGGACCATGAAGCTCAGTAAATGACACCACCTTCTTTGAGGAAGAGGTGATCAGAGATGATCATCTGGTTGCTTAAATACAGATTAGCCCTAGTCACAATGGAACCAAATGTAAAGGAAAGGAGTGCAGGGGTGAGGCGTGCAGAACCCTTCCCACCATCACCTCCTTCTTCACATTGTCTGTCAGCTGAATCATTATCAGAGCTTGCGTGTAGAGATAAGCACACAAGGTGGGTAGTAGGCTGTGGGTGGGAAAGATCCACCGCTCCCCCATGCCCTCTATTCCCCCCCCCCATACCACGGACCCTTCTATTTCTGGGAAATTGAGCACATCCAGGCTCATCACAAATCACCCATGTTTTGTGACGTTAGAACTAGGTTGTTAGTGGAGTCAATGTTGGCCGTTGTGTTATAAGTAGGCTCTGCCTCATCCTGGGCACTTTTGTCAGGAAAGATAGGAGACAGATCAAATGAATGAAGTACTTCAGCCTGCAAGTCTACCACTGTCATGCCTGGTGTCAGTGCAGGCAGTGTACTTTATAGAGGACAACAGCCCTCTGCTTAAAGGCATCCATGGTGCAAAGGGCTCTTCGGTCCAAATGTGACGTCAAGACTAACTGCAAGGCAAGAGACAGCAGGCACTGTGGAGCCCATTGCTAGTCCCAGCTAAGGCAGACCCTCTGAATTAATGGGCCTTATACAGGCGTGGAGACAATTGCTAGTCCCATGCATTATAGAGGACAACAGCCCTCTGCTTAAAGGCATCCATGGTGCAAAGGGCTCTTCGGTCCAAATGTGACGTCAAGACTAACTGCAAGGCAAGAGACAGCAGGCACTGTGGAGCCCATTGCTAGTCCCAGCTAAGGCAGACCCTCTGAATTAATGGGCCTTATACAGGCGTGGAGACAATTGCTAGTCCCATGCATTCAACAGGCCAACCCTAGTTGAAACAACCAGTTTGACGTAGCCCACATAGAACTGTGGAGCCCATTGCTAGTCCCAGCTAAGGCAGACCCTCTGAATTAATGGGCCTTTACAGGTGTGTATGGGTCTTATACACTGTGGAGCCAGTTGCTAGTCCCATGCGTTCAACAGGCCAACCCTAGTTGAAACAACCAGTTTGACGTAGGCCTCCCCACATAGAGCAGCATCTGGACAGCAGATCGATCAGCAAACACACAGGTAATTTAAATAGACCTATGAGACCCAGTGAGTCTTCCCACTGGGATGAAAGTATTATATGTCTATTTAAATTACAGTAATTACTGGTAGATTTGACTGCTTTATATCTCTAAGTTAACCTATGCAGATTCTGCACAAATCTATGTTCTTTCTTGGTTCTGGGTGATTATAAATAGACCTATGAGACCCAGTGAGTCTTCCCACTGGGATGAAAGTATTATATGTCTATTTAAATTACAGTAATTACTGGTAGATTTGACTGCTTTATATCTCTAAGTTAACCTATGCAGATTCTGCACAAATCTATGTTCTTTCTTGGTTCTTTCTGAGTGATTTATTTTTTTCTTTTTATGGCCATGCATTAGCAGCCACCCTGCTTGGCCCTAAAAGAGAAAGGTGGGCAGCAATTGACTAAAAAAAAAAGGCAGGAGGAGACTCCCCATGGCGTGACTATGTCATCTGGAGCTACAGCTGGCGAATGTGAACACAGACACATAGTATTGTATCCTCCTGGTGGTCAAATGTTGTATTGGAGGCATTGCACTAAAAAGGGCAATGATTAGGCCAGTATTCACTTGGAATTAAACAAACCTTCACAGCAGCTAGCAGCCTTACTTGCTATGCGGCTGAAACTCTGGGTCCTTTCAATGCTTCTATGGGTACATTTTCCTTAATGGAGTTAATCATATGACTTATTGGAGGCATTGCACTAAAAAGGGCAATGATTAGGCCAGTATTCACTTGGAATTAAACAAACCTTCACAGCAGCTAGCAGCCTTACTTGCTATGTGGCTGAAACTCTGGGTACTTTCAGTGCTTCTATGGGTACATTTGGAGTTAATCATCTGACCTGTTTGTGTCGAAATGCTCTCTCTACCCAGAGAGGCAGCTGTTTTTGTGTCATTTCAGGAGTAGACAGACACACTTCTTTGATATTGTCACATGCCTTTTAATTCAATCTGACCTGTTTTATCTCAGCCAGTACCTTTTCACTTGTTTTATCATGTTTTTAAAAGTTTGAAACCTCACGGGAAAAAGTCAGTTGAATAGGAAGGTAGGAGACGTCCTCCAATAATTGAATAAATACAAGCATTTAATCTCAATTTTGAAATGGTAACTGTTGAACAATGAACAAGCTAAACCCTTTCAGCAAGGCTTTCCCTGTTAAATGTTCAGTTAAGCACATCTTAGAATATTATACTAAGTAAAGTAGCCAAAATGAAATGTATAAATAAAACAATTTTTTTTAAAAAAAACCCAACCCTCTCCTTATCTCTGTCCAGTTATGAGATACCATTTATTGGCAGACTCCAGTTTGTTTCTCATGCAGAGCAGAAATGACCACTGCAAGCTATGGAGTGAATGTGCCTTTTTCCCATTCCAGATGTGATGCAGGCTACACTGGACAACACTGTGAAAAGAAGGACTATAGTGTTTTATATGTGGTTCCGGGACCAGTAAGATTTCAGTATGTCTTAATAGCAGCAGTGATTGGAACTATCCAGATTGCAATCATCTGCGTTGTAGTCCTCTGCATTACAAGGTGAGTAACACAGGCAGGTTTACACTTAGAGTCCTGTTGGAAAGAACCCACATCTCAAGTCCAGTTAAAATGATCTTGGGATATTCAGACTCTGAAAACCTACTGCTAGCTCGATTAAATAGGATTGTTGCATAGTTTTGAATTCCCTTTACCACTACACAGAAGTACAGAGATCCACATAGAAGAATAGCTACAAGTTCCACAGATAGTCCACCCCTTTCCTATTATCTGGCACCTAAGGTTCCTACTAGCTCACTCCGTGACATATGAAAGAGAAATAATAAAAAACATTTCATTACTTACCGTTGTGAACAGGTCAACAGCAAACTGACAGACTGCTTCCAACAGACTAAAGAGAGAGAAAGGAACCACTCATCAGAGAGGTTGAGTTTTCTTTGAATTCAGAGGCAGGGAAGGAACAATTGGTTACTGCTGGATAGATTCAAAGTCACTCCAGCCTGGGAAAGTCACTCCCAGTCACTAAAACCACAGTCAGCATGCGGGGTTGTAAAAACTCCCAACAAGGACTGGAGTGAGTGGAATGCCAGAAGTCTTTTTTAGAAGGCAGTTTGAGTTCTGTCCATTCACAAATACTAGTAGCAACTTACATCCTTCAGTAGTTGGCCAACACAAGCAATAGTCATAATAACACTCTAAAAGACTAACAGGTTTTAAGAAACCCCCTTGGGGGGGAAAAATGTAATCAAAAAGTTCTACAATTTCTTTCCACTTGTTCAGGCTTCTCATCTTTTACAAGGTGATTCAGCTTTCTTGCAGTTATGACAATGTATGTCTTAAAACAAATCCCTTTCCTTTAAAAGGGTGAGAGGGAAAGAGAGGGAAATAGACATCAAGTTCCTATGGAAAGTTTTAAGAGCTCCAGTGTTATCTATGCATCCACAACTTGCTATGCTTAGAAAAGAAATGTGACATTTGGGCTGAGAGAAAAGTACAAAATAATTCATAAATCCTTTCCCAGCCTAAAGGCATAATAGAAGAATGTCTGCTGTAGCTTGGAGATGCTTGTTGAATCCACGTTGAGTTCATCAACTCTACCCTCAAGAGTAGATGCTCCCCTGCGAAAAGACAAATGCATTATATTAAAGTGGGTTTCTGGGAACATGAAGATAATTCAAGCAGGCAAAAATACAGTGTACATAAAAGGATGGAGATGGGAGAGTAATGGCTCAACAGAAAACTGGCACTACATCATGTTGTTCAAGCCATCTTCCAAGTGACTCCAGGTTGGTTGGCTTCAGGCCATAAAGCAACCTAGTAATTTGTGCACAGAGAAAATAGTGCAGTTTTACATGAATACTACTTATTCTGTGCATCTTTGAATCGATAAAGGGTGTGCAAGCCCTTTTCCTTGTATTCTAATTCTCTGTTTTGATGTAACCCCTCCAGTTAAAGCCAATGGCCCAAATCGTATAACATTCTGATACCATTATACGTAGTGCTGGCAAATGTTCTCCAATGAAGAAGCCGGCACAGCCATTTTGCTGTGGTGCACCAAATTGTGTAACTCAGCATGCCACCGCTAATGCCCACCCTGATGTCTTGCATAGCATAAACATGGCTGGCTACAGCTTAAGTCCTTAACTGCTTGCCAGGTGAGCATAGGGTTGCCGTTGAACTCAGAAGAGGAATTCTAAGCAAAGGCCTTACTTGGGGAAAGTTATTAAGGGCAGAAAGAGAAAGGGGATGCGACTTGGTTATTGAAAACTACACTTGCACCTAGAGAAGCTGTCAAGGGAGGTTGCTTCTATTTTTGTTCTTCACTTTTCATAAGATACCCTGAAAGCTCTAAGTTGGGTGGGGGAACACGGTAAGTCAGACCTGGGCAAAATGCGGCCCTCCAGATGTTACTGAACTGCAATTCCCAGCAATCCTAGCCCACACAGCCAATAGTGAGGATTGCTGGGAGTTGCAGTTCAGCAACATCTGGAGGGCCGTATTTTGCCCAGGTCTGCTGTAAGTATATCCCTGAACGTTTTTCAAGCACTGAGTTCTGCAGGTGCACATAGATGTATATATGTATGTGTATGTGCATGTTCACATGCAGAGCTCAGAACCTGAAAATGTTTCTGTGCATGTGCGCATTCATGCACACATTTAAGCGCATGTATCCATGTATGTACAATACATGTACAGTATGCATCACATTAACCAGTGTGAACTTTGGAAGCCATAGTGTCTTCTACTGCCTGCTGGTGTTCATTGCTCATAAGGCTCCGCAGCATAAACGAGAATAATTCCCCAGTCCCCTACTGTCGGTTTCCTCATCTTGCTGCAGCATCCCCACAATGCTGTGCCACACCCCGTTGTTACAGAGAGCCCCCCAAACCATGAAATAGCCATTTTGATGGAGGGAAGACCAAAAAAATACCACCCCATGATCAGTGATCTGTTCACAGGAATTAGAATGCATGGCATTGTAATCATTTTCAATGAAGTTTCTTTCTAGATATTTCTAGACTATTTGATACTTCTGTTGTCTTGCTTTGCTGAAATACTCACATTTGCTTGGTTAGTTAAAAGAAATGCAGGTTTGCTCTACTGGACTAGGACAAGGGGCAACCTGGTTCTAATCTCCACCCCACAATAAAGCCGACTTTGTGTCCTTGGGCGAGGCATCGCCCATTGTCCCTAACCTACCTCACAAGGTGGTCATGAGGATGCAAATGGGATACACTGGCTTTAGAAAACATCGGCTATAAGTGTAACGGATAAAATCCATTCAGGTGCTGATCAGCAAGGAGAATCCCTTTTTTAGACATATGATGTTATAGAAACTGATGTTTCTTACTTTCTGTAAACACCTTCCTCTCCTTCTAATGAAGAAAATGGCAATTAATATGTTTTCTTTCATTCGTGTGTTCCAGGCTGAAAGGAGACCTGGGGACACATTTGATGGTGTATCCCCCGCCCTGTGCTTTTCCGTATGTTTTTTTGTCAACAATCCCAGATCCGTATCGCTTGTGGTTGATATTTAAATCAGGGCACGGAAATAACTTGGCTACCTGCAAGCCGTGTCCTGGGAGAGATGGTCTGACATTTTCAGATTCCCGAACGAGTCTTGGGTTTTGAGAGAGCAGGAGAGGTGGTTCCTTTTTACTAAGCTTTGTACTTGTGCAGCCAAGGGAAAAAAACGAGTCGTACAGGCAGCCGTTGTCATTGTCAGCTGCCCTTCTGCGGCCTGCAACCCTTACCTTACCACCACTGTCCTTTAAGCAAAAGCAAATTTCATGCTCTCTTTTCCTGCCCTCTCTTCCCTGACTGCTTTTAGGAAATGTCCCAGGAGCAACCGAATTCACAGGCAGAAGCAAAACACAGGGCACTACGGTTCAGACAACACAACCAGAGCGTCAACCAGGTTAATTTAAAAAAGAGCGCATGTTCTCCACAATGGCAAACGTAAACTGCAGAGAGCTTGGACTTTTATGGAATACAGTATTATAGACAAAAGATCTACACATGTTGCCTTGCATTTGTGGTAATCGACACCAATGGGGGGAAAAACATGTACTACAGCTATATTTGATTATGTATGGATATATTTGAAATAGTATACATTGTCTTGATGTTTTTTCTGTAATGTAAATAAACTATTTATATCACACAATATAGTTTTTTCTTTTTCATGTATTTGTTATATATAATAAATACTCAGTGATGAGAACAAAATATATATTTTTTTCTTTCTTAAATTGGCTGTATCTGACAACTGTTATCTTCTGGCATGACAACTACTTGAGCAGTGTGAATTGTGGTCATACGTGCATCTGTTCGCTGCAGACACGGTGGCTGCATCCCAGGCCATAGTTAGCTTACTTAAACCAAACAGAAGACAATGGGATTAAAACGGCCTAACTGTGCAGAACCACAGAACATACTAGAAGACTCTGGTATAACAGTCGCCTCCTTGCTCTTACTCTGCTTAAGAAATAATCACCATTTTATTACTTCGCTGCTCTGTGTAATATATCAAAAGAAAAAAAGACCCAACACACACACAAAAAAAACATATAAGCAATGGCCCAAATCCTATGAGATATTTGCTGTCATCCCAGAGCAATTTTATGTCCCCAAAATATAACTACAAAGCATAAACAGTCAATTAACATACACACACATACACTTTCCCCAATCTGTGTCAGCTTCCCAGCATGCCCTAGCACCATCCCCAGCTGCCACGTGAAGCTGCCATGACAGGAGAGGGGGCCAGCTGGGCCACCACCATCAGACCAGGGGCCACCACATGGCAAACAACAGCACCCCAGGTAAGCCCAAGACCCACCTTTTTCAGGACTAGTTCTTAAAGCACATTCTTAAAATTACACAAAGCTTCAGTATTTTACTTTAACCTCTTCTGTCTTAATCAATACAGGTCACACTCTGACTAATCATTCCTTAAACCAGGGGTGGGCAATTAATTTCTATAGGGGGGGGCACATGAAAAATCTGAACTTGGGTGCCGAACCAACTTTACTTAAAAATAAAATGAAACAGTGATGTCATGATTGTTTTTATTTTAAACTTGTTAATCTTCACAAATACTAAAGAGGTTTTTGTGGTATGTTAAAGATAAGCAACTGATCAACTTTAGACAAAAATCTATAAATGGTTTTGATGTTCAAAACTGTCCGCGGGCCGGACAGGAGTGGCTTGCGGGCCATATGTGGCCCTCGGGCCGCACTTTGCCCTGGTCTGCCTTAAACACTCTCTCTGCCTCAAACCCAAACTATCTTCTCTCTTCTCTGTCTCTGTCTGAACTGACTAGACATAGACTCACCCCTCCCTCCTAGTTTCTCTGGCTCCGCCTCCCAACAGCTCCCATTGGTCCATGTATAAGCAAAACCATGCTCAGATCTGTGAAAATCAACGGAGAAGTGTACCTTTCAAACTTCAACTCAAGGATAGAGATAATATGACACACACACCCCAAATCTTGTTGGCCTAGATCTCCCATCATCCCTCAATATTAGCTATGCTGGCTAACCAGCAGCAGCAGGCAATCAATCAAACAGCTGAAATGTTGCTTGTCATATCAAGTCACACCTTGAAGCAGTGATAGACCTGATGGGAGTTGTGACACAACAACATGTAAACACCCTCCCCGCCCCCATATCCAAACATTTTTAATTCCCTAAACTAATATCCTCTAAAGATGGTTCCCTTGCTTTTGAAATTCAACAGCAGATTATATAAGTAGGTGCAGCATGTGAGTAGAAGTTAAACAGTCAAGGAAAATGAAAGCACACAGTCCTCGATATTGCATAAAAGGAACCTCTAGCCCTATTAACAAGAGTGACTGAAATGGCTTTTCGTTTATTGTGTTAAAATCATTAGCTAAGGAATGTTCACGGCAGAGCTGCTGTTTCCTCATGAATACATTGCTATAACTTGGTTCTCTGTCAGAGAAACTGCATGCCACAAAGAAAGCATCAGATGGCTTCGTGAACAATTAATATTTTTTTTACTGCCATTGTTTGGGCAAGAGTGCCATGGAGATAAAACAGCACCACCTTCATTCAGGTTTCAGCAGGCCTGTGGCAATTCCAAGGTTGGAAAAGGTATTTAAAAAGTGTGAGGGGAGGGAAGGGAAAAAAACGCACCTCCTCTAAGTGTGGATCCCAAAGGGTCCAGTGACCATGACTGAGAGAGGGTGTTCAGTGGCTATCTCATGCTGGCAGACTGGGTGGGGATGGAGGTAAGATAGAAAACCAGGCATGGAGGCCAATGGGCTGGACTAGGCAGGAGTCTCTCCAGACAACCAGGAGCAGCAACAAACAGTCCTTGCTGCTGCTTGGTGTTGCAGGTTCCACTTGGTGACAATCTGTTTCCATTAAGTTGAATAACCCTGTGCCTCAAATTCGTCACTAACATTTCAACAGAAAGCACCATTCAAGAAAGGTGGTGAAATCCATCCTCTCAGAGCCTTGTTTACCCTAGCAATTGGAATGGTTCTAAACCACTTGCAGCCATTGGTCCTCTGGGCCACTATTAGTCTGTCATTGTTTGTTGTTATGTCAAAACTTGAGTTTTTCAAAAAAATAAATGCTTGCAGCTTGATTGTGTGCCTCTTTTGTGGAAGTAAATCTACTCAGTTAAATGGGAAGAGACAAGCCACAGTGCAACTCAGGCCACACCACATTCCCTCGAAACTGAGGGCCAAGCAAGACCAAAACATTTAGAAATATTTCTGCAGAGATGTGAATTGTGCCCGTCGTGGCACATGGTTTTCCTCACCCAGGCATCGCTTAGGATGCTTCGTTTCATGACTGGTCACTGGAAAGTAAACATGGACATAACTTAAAAATCTGACTGCATAGTCCTGGAGGTGATCACATTATCTACTACTCACATTCTGAGAGGGAAAGTAGTCTAATCACAAGGAATAACACATTCTCCCTAGCCCCTAGTTTGACTCATTGCCTTCAATGGGATTTACTTCCAAATCAATGAGGTTATGAAACTGTAGTCATTGGGGATTTTCCCCACTACTAAACCACCAGCAAATCCCTAATTTCAAAACACTTCATAATAGCAAGTCTCCTGCCCACTCGTATTTAAATAAAAATCCAGTTTAAAAGGCTACCTGTGGCCAGGTGGTGCTTCCTTTGACAGGTCGAAGTGGCCCTTCTTGGTAAAAGTATACGTTAGCCTGGTTGCTCAAAAACAGAATGTGCAATTGTGATCTTTTAAAAAGTGCATTTATAGTCAGAGCGAGAAAGCAAGATGGTTAACAGGGTGTCTGATGTGGGATGAGAGGAGAGACCGCCTTTAATCATTTTGTTTTCAAAGAAACTGGAGAGACCTTTGAAGATTGTTTTTTTTCCCCTGAGCTTTATCTTAACAAAATAAAAGGCTGAGAGGTTTCCTAGTCACCTTTCATCCTGTCCCTAATCTTGAGGTTCAACTAGGCATCTGCTTAACAGGGAGGTTTGAAGACACAGAACTTTTGGTGGGTTGACAGCAACTGTTTTTGAGTTGTGACACACAAACACAGACACTTTAGCCAAGTAACCTGTGACGTCCCATCACATTTTTTGGGGGGGGGAAACACCCCTGTCTCTTCATGGGTTACGTTTTATTGAACTCAGGACTGACTTCCAAATAAACCTGCGCAGGACTGGGCTACTAATTGGCAAGGCTATGAGGCCACCCTTCCTTGGGCGCCACTTCTAGACTCCTGCAGGACTTGTTTCTGAAGGAAATGAGTTGGAGCAGGACTTGTGATTCTGGCTAAAGAGAGGAGGGGTGTGTGGGTGTATGTCTTGTCTGTGCCCCACACTGTTGCACAATTCAAGATTCGCAGTTTTCCCTCCTTTACTAGCAAGGAATGAGAAATTATTACTCTTTGCATGGGGTGTGTGGGTGTATGTCTTGTCTGTGCGCCAGCTTTAACTACACGCTGTTGCACAATTCAAGATCCGCAGTTTTCCCTCCTTTACTAACAAGGAATGAGAAATTATTACTCTTTGCACTCCAGATTTTAAGCAATCTTGGGCCGAGGCGGGTGTAAGGCAGCCAGAAGAGAGCAGTGGAGAGGGAGCTTGCTCCAACAGGATGCAATCAAGGCAAAGTTCCCCTGGCAGATGCTGGCCAGCTCAGCAGCAGAATGCCCTTTGCCAACACCAATGCCAGACAGCAGCCCAGGGAATGTGGCGAAGGTTTCCACCTTCCATGAAAAGAAAAAAACAGGAGAGCAGAAAGTTATGCTGGTGGCTTGTATGCTGATGCCTTCGTCCCTTGACTGCGAATAAATGGCATTGAATGCAGTGGGCCATAATTCTAAGTGGGCACATAAGGGAATGGGTTTAACATAACTGCAACTACAAATAACTGCAGTGACACCATCACCTTCCAGAAAACACTTCCCGATCCCCAGGTTGGGAACCAGTGGGGAACCCTAGCAGATGCAAAATTTCAGGTTTTTTCTTTGGCGTAAGTGAAGTCTGCTTACAGCATATATGAATCCCATAGTTCTGTTGTCTTAATTCCAGTAATAAGTTTGTCCACAAAAGATGTTTGAATCTCCATTAAAGAAGAAAGAGTCAAGGACAACTTCGTTAATCCAGAGAAGGCTGAAACAACACACATTGCCCCCTTACCTCGAAATAATGACGCGGGACAAGTATTATGAGATAAACATGAGCCAGACTTTATTAAATAATCATTATTGCCCTCTGTAAAAGGGGGGTCCTGCCATAGTGCGGAATTCAGGTTTAAGCACAGAGGTCTCAATGGACCCCTTACAAAACAAATGGGCAAGTCCCTAGCCCCAAGTTCTCACGGTTGTGAAGACAGCGAGAACCCGACTGGCCTAAATTTGACAACCCCCGGACCTCAAGCCACCTTCTGTTTGTTGACTGTTGGTCCAAGTGTGGCCCCAGCACATCTTCCCCCCCCCAAGCACTTTAATCACACAATCCGCAGTGCTGGGAGGTCAGATGACCTATACATTACCTGTGATGGTGATCGGTCTCACTGAAATCTGTTCTATCTGCACTACCTGCCTGTGTGACCAAATATTTCCACCTCTCAAAATGCACCTGCTCCAGTGTGGGATAGACGAAAAATCCCTGCATCCAAAAGCCAATCAGGATACAGGTAAAAAAATTCCTATCCGGCCCTCGGAGGCGACCAGGTAAA